CCTCGGAATTCTTCGGAATTCTTCGGAATTCCTCGGTACACGATCAGAAAACGTCGCACTGAACTTTGAGACTAATCAAGAGTCCAGGATCAAATAACGAGCCTCAGAATCTTACTCGTCCCCAGTCGTCTCTCTTGTAAGGAATCACGCGTGTGTGTTAGGAGTTGCGCGAGTGACAGCGCATGGCAAGGGAGCGCGAGGGGTGAGCATCCCCCGCGTCTTGCGACTCCCAACAAGAGAGAAAAGAGCTCGAGAGATGACTGGGGACGAGTCAGCCTCAGAATAGAGAAAATAGCGAACATTAAAGAAAATCGGCATTTGAAAAAATGAAGGGTACGTGGTAATCGTGAGTAAGTCTGTTCCAATTTTCGGAATCAGAGGAGATTGACAACTCATCTGTGCCAGAGCTTAACTCCGGTTTTGTTATAGGAATCGACTAAGATTATTGATACTAGTTGTTGCGTATCCATCGCAGGTTGTATTTAGCATTTAGTCAGGTTTGCCGAACAACTCGCCGGTATAAATTTATACTTCAGGATGGAAAGACAGACACTGTGGGAGTAAACTGTCTTGCCGAAAAAAGAAAAGAAACGATACGATACGAAAGGAAAAGAAGAGAAGAGAAGAGAAGAAAAGAAAAGAGAAGAGGAACGAAAATAAATGAAATGAAAAAAAAGTCACTGACCCAAATAGTTTCACTTTGAACTTACTTGGACACGGAGAAATACATTCCAGCTTCGTTTGATATGCGTCTCCAGAACATGGCGCCCCGTCCAGAGTGGGGGTGGGGTTAGTACATGCTCTGGACCTGTTGACTGTGGATCCCCCGCATGGATTGTCACAGAGAGACCACTGACTCCATTCTGTGTAACCGCCGTCAACTGCAAGGGTATTTCAATGACGTTTAAGTCAGCTGAGGTTGGTATCGTTCTCGAGTCTATACATTTCATATTTAAATAAATGTATTACACTAAGAACCTTTTTTATAAGAACGTTGAGGCTGAGATTGACCAAAATTTTAAGAACATGCTAAGAACATAGCCAGGTTCAGACTTAGCTAAGAAAATTTTTATTCACTTGTTTCTTGCATCGATCGCGAGCTCTAAATTCCAATATCCTTTCAAAACATTAACAAAATGTAACATTTCAAATATCTCAGTTGATACGCAGTTCAAATGAGCTCAAAATACTTGAATGCAATTTTTTATAGTAACAACATGATATGGCAAACATGTATAAAAAGCGCTAATATGAGGCTGTGTTTTTGTCTTTTATACAGGTTTCCTGCAGAGTTTCCTGGGTTTCACATTCGAATCTTTTTTGTGTGAAATTCTATACCATTAAGAACGTTTTCAGGCTGAAATCGCCAAACAAATAAGAATTCGGTTTTGGTTCAGCCACAGCTCGAAAATTAGACGTTCTTACAAAAAAAAGAGTGTAGTTGGGATAATTTATGCTAAACACAATCAGTGATCAGGGAAACAAACACGGCCTCATAAGACAAACAGCTGTCGGCTTACACAATCAATCTGTCAAATATATCGTTAAAGCATCAAGTGAATTTGTAACCTTTGTAACTTTTTAGTCTGTGGATGAAACCCTAGTGTGTGATCATTCAAATGAAAGCTAATGAACAGTGACTGTGTTCTGCATGTGGTACGTTATTCCATGTCTTGAAAAATGCAAGTTGGTTTTTTTTTATTATTTCGAGCTTGACACTGAGGCTGGGGAGTGAATGTCGGGGCTTATTTCTTTCAAGCGGCAGATTGCTAATTAACTGGCGGATTGCGAATATAAGGAAGGTGTTTCACTCGTGGTAAAATACAGAAAACACTTCCATATAAGGATTTATTAATTTTTTTGCACGAAGACATAAGCTCTGTTCGAGTGGAAATAAAGTTTATGTATGTATATGTACGTATACGGTATGACATGTACAGTGTAGAATCTTTTGCAAACCGCTCAGAGGAGTTTTGATTTAAAAGGAAGCGTAAAAGTGAAATCGGTGGCAAGAACGATTTATTTCTACACGAACCTTTTTATTTTTAACGCCCTAGGCCTCTAGGTCTTGCTATAATGATTTAGCTCTGAGATTATCAAGTTATCCTACTACCATAGTTAATAGAGGAAATGGTTATGAAGCCCGGCAAAGTTCTTTGTTATATGTTTTTGTTCGCTATTTTTGGGGTTGACCGTGCACAAAACCTGACAAAAAAATACAATAGGTGGTTATGTGTGTTCAAGCAACTAACCAATAGAAACGTTGCGATTACGTAATTCATGCATAGTGTACGAGCTCAAAACAAAAGATGTGCACGGTCGTGGACCTCCCAACATAAATCTTGGCCTCTTTGTTTGCTCGTTTGAAGTTTGCTGGGCTTCATAACCATTTCCCTCTATTAACTATGCTACTACTTTGTCTTTTTCACTACACGCTATATAACACAACTGCAAAATGGCTTGTACTAAAAATATATTTGAACTACTGACATTCTCGTTCCCAGATCCTCTGTTTCTTTTGGTAACGTGGTTGGCGAAACGGAGGCTCTGGTCTCAGCCGTTACCGGATGTCCAAAAATTCCGAACATCCATTCATTAATTCGTGTTGCGCATTCATTTTTTATCAGCCAATGAAAAAAATTCGATTTTTTCCTTGCGACCAGGGCTACTCGTTTCCGGCACCAAAAAAAAAACGAGGAGCTCTGGGAACGAGAATGAACTACTGAATACTCACTCATGCAGTCCATTTGCTCTGAACTGTCTCCTTCGTCACAGTACTTCCCATCTGAAGTCGGTATTGGATTGGTGCAAGTCCTTGTTCGAATTCGCTGATTTCCCGCGCAAATACCGTCTGCACAGCCGCTCCACGCCGACCAACCTGACCAACCGCCATCCACTATATCACACCAAAAAGAGATGTCATTAAAAAAATCCGCAAAGAAAACCTTATGAGTGGCATGCTATAGAGTACTAAAGTTATGACGTCACATGCCTGATCATCGCGAATAAAAATATAATGGATTATTATTTTATTTTATTTTGTAATCATTTTATAGGATATTTCAAGGCCCTATTCCCAGGGGAGAAAGATATGATGATGAATAGGATTTACGTGTAATTGGTATTGATCATTAATGACCGACGTGGCAGTGACCAAGTAGAAAGCGTAAGCTACTTTGGTCACTGTGCACATATTATGTATTTTTTTCTCTTGTTTTTTATTTTTTCTCCACTTATGTAAATGAATTGCTCCTGTATTTTTACCTAATTTATTTGTTTGTAATAAAAAACTGAAAAACTGAAAACTTATTCTCTTTAATTAGAAGTTGTTATCTTGGCTGTTTAGCAAAATGTGATGACCCACTCGAAATCAAATCGAAAATACTGTGTCAGTCAGTCACGTTTTTCACAATTCAATTCAATAACTAAAATCGCGATGAAATATACATCAGTTTTTTATGTTCCTATTTTTAGGCAACCCTCAAAAGATATTCAGCTAATGCCATGTTAAATGAAACTGGGAAACATTCAATCTCCGTGAACTTCTATAAAAAAAAACAATTAACGAGCAACTTCGACTTTTACAGCTTACGACCTTGGGCACCTACGATAATAACTGCTAATTTTAAAACTATCCTTATAGGGTTTTTTTTTCGCATTTAGCTTTTACGTCATAGACGATTCAACAAGAAGTACATACTTACCGGCCGCGCCTACAGAATTACAGAACGATGTTAAAAATAATAGAAGTAGGAAAGGATTGCAATCGCTTTTCCTCATTCTGACGAGGTGAAAACTACTAATATCTATGTGAAAGATACGGAGGCTAAAGCATAGCCAGGTACTCCTTTCCCGCTGAGTGGTGAATAAAGAATAGTAAAAACCCACCTAGTTTAATGCAATTCTACCACGTCAATATACAGACACCTGAAATGAATCTGTAGAATCTGTTAAGTTAGGTGAATAAACAAATTTCGTTGGTTGTCGAAACCAAATCGCTTAGGCGTTAATTATCGCGTAGTGCTCAACCACCTGAAAGTTAAGAATTGGAAAACAAAATATAAAGAGTCGCGAATCGGAGAGTTATAATAGAGTTATAATAACTCCTTAAATAGAGTTAATTTAACTCCTCACGTTGGAGTTTCGGTGGAGTTTTTTTTTTGGAATTATTATAACTCTACATAACTCCTTTTTTAGTTAGTAGTATGTTGTTTAAGTTATTTAAGTACTTTTGTTGATTTACATTTTAGATTTTATATCCACTAACAGTATTTTTATTTAAAAAAAAAAATGGGCAAATACCGTGGAGAGGAAGAAGATTGAAGAAATTACCAAGAAAAAATAATATTATATTATATAATCAAAAACTAAATTAAAGCGATCAAAAAATATAAACTGTTTTTAATCGGATTCGAAACTTTTAATTATAATACAATTGGGTCTATATTTAATACAAAAGGTCATCATATTTCAAATTTTTAAAATGTTTATAAATATAAGGATTTCTAAATTTCTACATTGTTCAATACGGAACATATTGTAACGATTTAAACATTACTCAATGAAACAGCCTTGAGTCTCATTATAAAAGTGAACTGAATCGTCGGGTTTTCATTTTGATTTCTAATGATAAATATTAGTCAATGTTTAAGAATTGCTAATCATTTTCTTCAGACAACGTGTACTTAAACTAATAACCAATTTTCTCCATGACCACGTGTACGTTAATCAATAAATAAAAAGAAGTTATAAACATTTACGAAAAAAAATCTTTAACGAAAATGTGCATTTTCATAATTATGTTTGTCTGTTAAGGAAGTTTCTCAAATCTTCTTCAAAAATGTTTCAGAAAATACAAAAATGTCTCGACTATAAGCACAGGTGTTCACTTCTCATAAAAAAATATTTTATTTGTAATGCATTATTGATTATTAAGTTGACAAAGTACGCAGTTATGTACGCAAATTAAGCAGTTGCAAAACGATTGCCTGAAAAAAATTCAGGCTTGAAAGGGTTCGAACCCATGAACTCTGCGATAAAATATTACCGGTGCAGTGCTCTACCAACTGAGCTATATATTCATCCCCTTATGGGTGTATTACAAACTCATATGACCACCTCTCAGGTGGCTCGATAGCTAAGTTGGTAGAGCACTGCACTGGTATCGCAGAGGCGAACAATTATGATAAATTGAATCCGATTCGCGACTGTTAAAATTTTATTTTCATTTTCTACAATCTCTCTTAACTTTCAGGTAGTTGAGAACTACGCGACTCAATGTAACTAATTAACGCCTAAGCGGCTTGGTTTCGATAACCGACGAAATTTGTTTATTCACCTAACTTAACAAATTCTATAGAGTTAATTTAAGGTGTCTGTATATTGACGTGGTAGAATTGCATTAAGCTAGATGGGTTTTTACTATTCTTTATTCACCACTCAGTGGGAAAGGAGCACCTGGCTTTGATTTAGCCTCCGTATCTTTCAGATAGATTTTACTAGTTTTCACCTCGTCAGAATGAAGAGAAGCGATTCCAATCCTTTCCTACTTTCCCACGTACACGTGGTCATGGAGAAAAATTGCGTTATTAGTTTAAGTACACATTGTCTGGAAGAAAATCATAATAGCAATTATTATAAGGCAAAGTGGTCCACGATGAAAAAGGAACATTCTGATTGGTTCCCTGAGCGGTCCTAATTTTGCAATACGGACTGCTAAGATGGACCGCGCACGAACTCATTTCGCCGAATTTCTTTTATGTAACATTGAACAAAAGAAAACTGTTTTCTATTAAGAAGAAACATTTTCCTTACGTCTGGCGGACAATGTTGGTTAAAATTTTCGCTAAGTGGCCTGAAAAATGCAAAATTATGCTAACTTTGGCGCGCGCATTAGCCGCGAATTGTTGTATTAATTTATCAGCAAATTTTTCAAAAATCCATTATTTTAAAAACTTTATTGAACTAGCTTGTTCGGTCCGTATTGGGGAATATTGGTCTCGTTCATTTTTAGCAAGTTTATGTTCGGCTCGGTCCATAAACTTGCAAAAAAAGAACTCGACCAATATTTCCCCAATACGAACCTCACGCTAGTTCAATAACATCTATTTCTTAAAGCAATGACTAATATTTATCATTAAAAATCAAAATCTATAATGAGGCGCAAGGCTGTTTCATTGAATAATATTTAAATCGTTAAAATATGTTCCGTATTAAAAATATATAAATTTAGAAATCCTTATATTTGTAAATATTTTTAACATTTGAGTATGATGACCTTTTGTAATACAGACACAATTGTATTAAGTTTCGAATCCGATTAAAAACAGTTTATACTTTTTGTTCGCTTTAATTTTAATTTTGATTATAAAATATAACATTATTTTTCTTGGTAATTTCTTAATCTTTTTCCTCTCCAGGGTATTTGTCCATTTTTATTTTTTTAAATCAAAAAAATACTGTTAGTGAATATAAAATCTAAAATGTAAGTCAGCAAAAGTACTTAAATAACTTAAACAACATATCACTACCAAAAGAAATAAATTATATAGAAGCCTACAATTATGATAAGTTGAAAAGCTCTTTAAATTGTATTTTTCTTTTCTTAAATCTCTCTTAACTTTGAGGTGATTAAGCACCACGCGACTCAATGTATAAACAAATTAACGCCTAAGCGGCTTGGTTTCGATAACCGACGAAATTTGTTTATTCACCTTTAGCCTCTGTATCTTTCAAATATATTTTAATAGGAGAAGTGATTGCAATCATTTCCTACTTCTATTATTTTTAACATCGTTCTGAAATTGTGCAGACAAAAATAATTATGAAAACACATATTTTCGCTAATAAAGTTTCTTTTTTTTTTCGTCAATGTTTATTACTTCAGTTGATTTATAGATTAACGTACACGTGGTCATGGAGAAGAATTGGTTTATTAGTTTAAGTACACATTGTCTGGAGTACATTTAAGGAGAACCTGCTATGCTTTAAGCCTGGTTTTCACTAGCGACGCAAGCACAAGCGCAAGCAGCATACGCAGACGCAGTAACACATTGTTTTGTCGTAAACAAAAGGCATTGATGATCAACGCGTTACTACGTCTGCGTATGTTGCTTGCGTTTGTGCTTGCGTCGCTAGTGAAACAACCAGGCTTTAGCCTCCGTATCTTTTAGATAGATTTTTATTAGTTTTCACCCCGTCAGAATGAGGAGAATCGATTGCAATTGCTTTATTAGTTAAAGACACATTGTCTGGAAGAAAATCATAAGCAATTCTTAAAACATTGAATAATATTTATCATTAATTAGAAATAAAAATAAAAAACCCAACCGTTCAGTTCACTTTTGTAATATATACACACTTGTATTAGTTTCGAATCCGATTACTGTGCGAATCAGAAAAGCGTGAACACTTTGATTTAGCGCTTGAATTTTTTTTGCCAAAAATTGGTCTATTTTTTCCAGAATTTATTTTATTGCTTTTTTCACAAAGCTTTTCTGCAAAACAAAGTGTCAATTTGAGTTTTCTAACTATTCTTCTTGCAGTTTGATCATCTCAAAGTTAAATAAAAGTGTTCACGCTTTTTTGATTCGCACAGTAAAAACAGTTTATATTTTTTGTTCGCTTCAACGTTCATTTTAATTTTGATTATATAATATAATTTTTTTTTTCTTGGTAATTTCTTTATTGTATTTGTCCATTTTTTAATTGTATTTTAAACAAAACTACTGTTTAATGAATATAAAATCTAAAATGTAAATCAACAAAGGTACTTAAATAACTTAAACAACATATTACTACCTAAAAAAATGAAATTATATGTGATAAATTGAAAACAAAATCAAATTCGTGACTCTTTGAATTTTATTTTCCTTTTCTTAAATCTCTCTGAACTTTGAGGTGGTTAAGTTCGACGCGACTCAATGTAAACAAAGTAAGGTGGCGTAACGCCTAAGTGGCTTGATTTCGACAACCGACGAAATTTGTTTATTCACCTAACTTAACAAAGTCTAGAGAGTTAATTTCAGGTGTCTGTATATTGACGTGGTACGTAGAATTGCATTAAGCTAGATGGGTTTTTTACTATTCTTTATTCACCACTCAGTGAGAAAGGAGTACCTTTGGCTATGCTTTAGCCCCCGTATCTTTCTGAAAGATTTTAATAGGAAAAGCGATTGCAATCCTTTCCTACTGCTATTATTTTTAACATCGTTCTGTAATTCTGTAGGCGCGGCTGGTAAGTATGTTACTTCTTGTTAAATCGTCTATGAAGTAAAAGCTAAACGCCAAAAAAATATATAAATAAGAGTAGTTTTAAAATTAGCAGTTGTTATCCTTTTAATGGTTGTAAAGGTGCCCAAGGTCGTAAGCTGTAAAAGTCGAAGTTGCTCGTATTACACTCTCTTTAATTGTTATTTTTTATAGACGTTCACGGAGATTGAATGTTTTCCAGTTTCATTTAACATGGCATTAGCTGATTTTTTTTTGAGGGTTGCGAACATTATAGCGATTTATTGAATTGAATGGTGAAATGGTGATATTTTCGATTTGATTTCGAGTGGGTCATAAAATGTTGCTAAACAGTGTGTTAAGGTGATTCCTCAGAAATAAAAGTTGTCGAACGATTGTTTTGAAACTTTCCCTGAATGTCCCCTACCAAGCACTTTTTCGAAAAATACAATAAAAAAGATAGGTCACCGTGCTCGCAAAAGAGATATGATGGACCAATGTTACCCCATTTATGCCTGTACTGGTACTAATCAGTAGTAGTAGCGTAGTTATTTCATCGGTTCACGTAACATTTCGCGGTAGCTAGAAGCAAAGTTTAAAGTAATACTTGAAAAAAACTTTATAAGTTCAAAGTCTCGACCATATGGAACAATTTAATATATAATTTGTGGAAAAAATCACACAAATTCAAACGACATCGACTCAAAACGTTCCTCGCATCGATATTTTCAAGGTCATAACTTGCACCCACGAGTATAAACGGTTCTGTGCACGCTTTTAGCGATATCTTTTTTTTCCTTCCGAAAATGTTTTTATTTTATTTTTTTAACTTAAAGAGAATAATTTGAACATCAAAATTATGCACTAAAAAATATAGGTCACCGTGCTCGTTTACGAGAAAACGTTTATTTACCTCCTTGGCGAGCATAGCCACAAAGAAAAAAACGCCATGTTTTTAATGTGCGCGCGCTAATTACGCGCGAAATTATGCGCAGTAAGGATGCGCAGTGCAATACTGAGGAATCACCTTAAGAGAAACTGTGTACGCTAGTGTGTATAATCGCAGTTAAAAAAATAATGCGTTTTATTATATGACCCGTATATGAAAAATACCCGTATGAGGGCCGTATGCTTCGAAGTGATAGGGCCGGAAAATGCCGTCGGCTACCGGCAGCGAGATGGAAAATTTGAAACAATTTGTTCTTTAGTGCTGACTTCATAATGAGTGATATAACGATCGTTCTGAAAGCAAAGTTGCTATCAAAGAGCAGTGAAGAACGTTTGACATTGCAAAACAATGCAAGCGCTAAAAATTTAACAGAAAACAAGCTAAAACTCGACGTATGAAGAAGCGCATCAATTTATTTTAGAACAAAAACCGAGGGCACAGTTTTTCTCAATACGGACCGACCGGCAAATAACGTTTTTATTTTTTCCTACTTGGTAATGCTAGAAATCTTGAAAAAAGACGAAGAAATAAAACTTAATCCAAATAACAAGACACTCAGACGATTAATTTTTACACTAGAATTACAGAAAGGTAAATGTGAAGAACAGACGATGAAGACTCAAACGGAATTTCACCACTAAAAGCAGCTGAAATAAGAAGATATTTCAAATTTAGCACAAAAGCCATTCAAAGTCGCAACCGGCAAAATTTCTTCCATACTCTTGCGTAGTACCATGAAAGCATTTTTCGAGCAAAACTTTTTAAGAGAGCCTGTCACTAAAAAGCAGACAAATATCAAATTTCGCGGCAAGGGTGGAAAATTCGATTTCTTTCTTATTTTAATGTTAGATAGGCTAGGGTATGACAAAAATCACTGGATACTTTTTTTGGCAAAATATCCTTTTATT